GTCCCTCATCCAGCTTTCCCCAACACTAACAGCTTATGGAGGCATAGTGCAGTGCATCCCATAATCAGGAACTTAACACCTGTACAATGATGTGGACCCAACTTAAGTCACCAGTTTTCCGCTATTGTCCCTTTTCAGTTCCAGGGTCCAAGTCTGTGATACTTCCTCAGTTCTTCCTTGTATAACCTTGACCCTCTTGGAGGGTCAAAAACTTTGTCAAATGTTCCTTCTGTGGTGATTAATATTGACCGTCAACTGGGCAGGATCTAGAATCACATAGGAGACAAGCCTCTGGACATATCTATAAGGGAGTTTCTAGATGGCATTCATTAATCTTCACCCACCTTAAATGTGGGTGGCATTATTCCATGAGCTAGAGTCCTAGATTAAGGAGAAAGGAGAAAGAGCTGAGCACCAGTTTCCTGCCTGACGACAGGCCTATGCCTTCCCCACTATAGTAGACTGTGTCATCAAACAGTCTACCTTTTGTCAAACCAAAATAAATCTTTCTTTCTTTTTTTTTTTTCTTTTTGTCTTTTTGAGACAGGGTCTCCCTGCAGCCCCAGCTGGCCTGGAACTCACTGTATAGACCAGGCTGGCCTCCATCTCACAGAGATCCACCTACCTCTATCTCCCAAATGCTGGGATTGGAGGCGTGGGCCACCACACCCAGCTAAACCTTTCCTTTCTTAAATTGTCTTTGTCAGGTATTTTTGTCACAACAACAAAAGTAACTAATATACCTCCATTTTGGGGGGTTTGTTTGACAGTCCCACGTTCCAGGGTTACACCAAGTTAGACAGATTTTGGCAAGAATGTCACAGAAAAGATAATACGTGTTCCTTCTCCCCAAATGTGTATCTATCCTAAATAGAAGTCTTGAGGAAATGACCTTTGCTATGTGAGGTACTCTCTGCCATTTTCTATAGTCCTTTAAAATGCTGGTCTCTCATGGGGCTGGAGAGATGGCTCAGTGATTAAGAGCACTGACAGCTCTTGGAGAGGACCTGGGTTCGATTCCCAGCACCCACATGATGGCTGTGGACTGTCCTTAACTCCAGTTCCAGGGGAATCCGAAGCCCTCTTCTGACCTCCGTGGCATTGCACGGCATGAGTGCACTCACATACATGCAGGCAATACACTCGTACACATGGGATGGGGATAATGAATAAAATATTAAAAATAAATAAATAAAATACTTAAAATGCTGGTCTCACATTCACCAGCGTGAATGTTGGCTCACACTGGTTTGAAACCACAGTTGAAGGCATCTCTCTCCCACCCACTCTTTCCAGAATGTCTCTCTTCTCTGCCTCAGTGGCTCCACACAGAGTTTTCTTTTTTCCTCTCTGCCCAGCTCGCTTGTGTATGGTGTATGGTTCTAGACTTGTCTCTCCCCGTCTATCTGATTTCTCACTATTCTTCCTTCCTCAGTGAACTGAGACACTCCTTTCAGGTTGGCTCTCCTCTCCACGAGGGTGGAGGAAGCTCTCCTCACCTGTACTTGCAGTTCTGACTTCTAGTGGCTTCAAGAAATTTCTCAATGGATGGCCTGCTGCTCACAATTAAACTCATGTGTATAGAACTAAAAGCTAATTAAGCTTTTTAAGTGTAATTTTGTGCTTTGACATTCAATATAGCCCAAATAGCATTTATTTAACACTCCCCAACACAAATTAGCTCCCCTTCCCCAGATTCCATACCTGTTGGGGGATATTCCTATTCCCTTTTGTTCAGTCCAGCTTACAGCCTCGCATTTACCTAGAATGCTACCCAGCCACCCCACTCCATTCTCTATCTAATTCAGAAGCTGTCAAACTTTTTGTTCTAATAGTAGTTTTGTTTTTTGTGTGAAATCTGTTTATCAAAAAGAAGAGGAAGAAGAAGAAGAAGAAGAAGAAGAAGAAGAAGAAGAAGAAGAAGAAGAAGAAAGAAGAGGAGGAGGAGGAGGAGGAGGAGGAGGGGAGGAGGAGGGGGAGGGGGAGGAGGAGGATGAGGGGGAGGAAGAAGAAGAAATCTATGTTTATGGTGGGTACATATACATATATACTGTATTGCAAGTAAAGTATACATCTTTTTTGGATTTGGGATATTTAAGGTAGGGTCTCACTATGTAGCCCAGGTCTTGACTTGTAATCTTCCTGAGCGCTGGGATTACAGGTATACTTCAGCATTGTTGCTTGTTTGTGTAGTCTGTGAATTGAACCCAGGCCCTCATGTACACTTGACAAGCTCTCTACCACTGAGTTACACCCAGCCTCTTAAGTTTTAGAGAACGTCAGAATCACCTAGGGGATCCTTAAAGGCTCTGCGTTCCATCCCCAGCCCTCCTAGGAGAGTAAACTAATGAGCAGGCTCAACCTCAGAGACTGATTTCGCAGTGTTTAAGTCAGCACCTTGAATTCCAAATTTCTGACAAGTTCTCCTGTGCTGCTGCTGCTGCTTGGTGAACTCTAACCCCACCCCCACCCCCTACACAAACATACACAGCCGAAACATACACAGACTCTCCACAGGCCTCCAGACTGGCTCAGGCAGCTGCACCACCACTTCCTCACCTCTCCTCCTAGACTCTGTCTCCCCTCCCCTCCCACCTTACCTCTAGTGGAAGGTTTTGCCTATCTGCCTAACTTCCAAGAACTCAAATCACCCACTTCCTGAAGAGTTCAGCTCCCAATCAGCATCTCCAGGAAGACACTTTATATTTCCAGGCTTTATGGAGCTTTTGGCAACAATGAAAGTTGGTGATTATAATGCAGTTGGATCTGCATCATCCAGACAACTAATAAGTTGTCCTTAGTGTGTTCTGGCTGCATTGTGCTACCTTCTCTGTGAGTGATAACACAGTTGCTCAGTACACACACACACACACACACACACATGCACACGATCTTGCATATGCCCACAAACACAGGAGCAAGCACTAGTTAGGGGGTCCTACCTAAAGCAGAGGATTCATAAATGCACAAAGAAACTTAAAAATAAATAATGAAAAGTTTTTACTCGCTCTTCCAAGTGCCAGTGCTAGCACAGGAGCAAGTTTTTGGTGTCTTCATTTTTGGGTTTTTTTTTTTTTTCAGGTTTTTAAAAATTATGTGTACATGTGTTCAGGTGCTTGTGAAGGCCAGAGGTGTGATATCTCCTTGCAGCTGGAGTTACAGGCAGCTGTGAGCCACCTGACTTGGGTGCTGGGAATTGAACTCAGGTCCTCTGGAAGAGCAGTGCACTGAGCCATCTCTCCAACCCCTTGTAATTTGGTTTTGAGGCAATGTCTTGCCACCTAGCCTGGACTGGCCTCAAATTTCAAAGTCCTCTTGCCCAGGCCTCCCTCTCTGCCGTGTGAAGTCAGAGCTGAGTTCACAGGGGAGGACAAGGGGTCCCCATCCATTCTGTAAAGATGAGAGAGGTGAAATGAAAGGAATGCCTCTGTTCACTGAGGCAAGAGTACAATGAAAGGCGACCAGACAGCACCAGGCTCTGAAAGCTGTATGTGCTTTCACCCTAGTGGGTCCCTTAGTAGGAGTGAGGGCCAGGCTGATGAAGATGCCACCCAGGCCCAACGCAAGGGGACATGTGGGTGCCCCTATACATGTCTTTTGGAGATTTTTGGAAGCGCATTCCTAAAAAGGAGATCGTGTTCTGTCCTTAGCAGCAGAATGGAATCAAGAACTGTCCTGCATAGGCTGTGCAGGCGCCAGGCCTGGGGCCTGTCTCGGCCTGGGTTTGGCGAGCCGCACTGCCTCAAGCCGCCGGTAGGTGTCTCTTTCCTGGCTCGGAATCTATTGTGAGTTCCCCAAATGGAGGCGCCCGGAGAGGGGGGTGCGGGGGGCGCGCGGGCCGCGGGGTTGCAGGGCGCCACGGGCCCACCCTGCAGAGCTGGGCACCGCCAGCCTCCACCTCCCACCCGCCAGGCACCCCTCCACCCGGGGGCTCCGCCTGCTCACACGCGGAGGAAGTGCGGCCCTGGCGCTGGAACTTGCCGGCTCTTGTTTCTGGGGTTTGCTGGCCCCGGTGTCACCAAGCAAGATCAAGGGTGGTGTAGGACCCTGGGGAGTTTTGTCCTGTTTCCCAGCGTCCTAACCCTCTGAAAGCCATAGGGAGAAGGACCTGCGGCCTGGCTTTTCCCATTGGGGAAATTCATTTCCCTAACGTGTTCGGTTTTGAAACGGCCCCTTTATTGGGTAAGGAAGTAGGGAACAGTCTCCCTATTTTTTTTTTTTTTTAAGGCAGATGTTCATAGGTCATCTACTGGGTGTCATACCTTGCAGGCGCAACTGAGTAATCTGTCTACTGCCCTGTCCGGGCCATCCAGTCCACCACAGCAATTAGTTTTCAGGCAGCAAGATGATTTCTGGTGCCCAGTGCTTGAAAGCCCAAGAACGAAGGAGAAAAACCGCAGCTCTTACACCAAGAACCTTTGTCTCTGGTTTTAAGGGTAAGGCTGGCTTGCATTTCCTTGGACCTTCTTATTTCGTTTAAAGGTAGTTTTTCAATCTTCACTGAGGTGAATCTTCACTGACTTTGCCACTATTACAGGTGCTGGGGATACAGTAGACAAAAATGCATCTTTATCTTTAAGACACTGGCAGTGGGCACAGCAAACCGATAGATAAATATATAACTAAGTGCACCCTGGCCCGACCTTGGTCTGATAGGCTTTTTAATCCTGCGGCACAAGAGGAAACCAGTACAGAGGCTCTGCCAGCAGCGCTGGACTCTAGAGAAAGGCACAAAGCCCCAGATAGCTAAGTGAAGAGTCATGTGGGAAAGCCACCGCCTTGGGTTGATGCCCATCAAGGAATGTAAGTTGCCTAAGGGACATAGTTGCTAGAAGTATTCCAGCTCCTGATCTCTGATCTGTTCTGCCTTCACTGGATCTGTTCCCCTATAAATCTTGAAAAGTTCCTGGGAACCACTATCAACCATGTATTTATCCTCTCATGAAACAATGTTCTAGAATCTGGCTGAAGTTAAGAAAGAAGGTCCATCCTTGTGCCACTTCTTTGCAACCCTGTTTTGGTTTTCCTATTGCTTAGTTTGGGATTGTTT